AAAAAAAAAAAAAAAAAAAAAAAAAACTACAAAACACAATGAAAAAGAAATACGCGGGGTCACATAAAAAAAACCAGTTACAAAATATCGCAGGTTTTCCAAAAATGTCAAAATCATAACCAAAACGACATGGGAGAAGAGGACTCAATCTAAGGGCCCTCTTCTGCAGCTGCATGACTCCACACGTCCTCGCCACCGACCCAGATCTACTTTTCTCCTGAGAAAAATAGCAAAAAACACAGAATGCGTATATAAACAATACCCAGTAAGCAACTTGCTCGTAAGCTCTTGTCGAACTTAGCCCTATTCACGGGATCCTAAATTTTGAGCTCGAATAGTCACTAGTCAGAGACCTAGTGGTGCCTGGCAACATCTAACTGTTCCTAAGATCAGTAACTACCTGTCACTGTGCCTCGCTAGGCTGTGTCAGTCACTACCGTCTTACGCCCTTGTCGGCTTAGATCAGTAAAACTACCTGCCTTAGGAACAATAACTACCTGTCACTATGTCGCTCGACTGGATCAGTAAAAGGCCATGGCTCGTCTCACTAAGCGCCTCTGACTTGTTATCATAGTTCCCAAAGCCATTATCCCAGTGGGAGTTATTGTAATATACTATGATTACCCTCAACCCGTTGTGGGTAACTACGAAAATGGTACACTGTCATTATGTGCTTCATAACTTATAATAACTAGCACCTAATAAATGATCCAACTCCCAAAGGGTAACAATGGGTTACCCAAGCCCCACGCCCAATGCCTAACAAAGAACCACGACAACAACACGTCGCCATGCTAAGTCACATAATAACCATAATAACCATCTAGCTCAACATAAAAACATACCATTTCATATGCCTATACGAAATTTCACATTCATGCCAACGAAACTATATAACCATAACAACAACCAAAGTACAACCACACACATTATCGAAGTACCACCTCCATGAACTAACTTTACCCATTCCTAAATACGTTACTAAATTGTTTGGCCACAAATCCAAACCGACTCCTACAAGAAATTACATAAAAACTTGCTCTAGATGGTTACTTACCTACTCGTAGACTTCCTAAAACTTTATTGAGTCTTCAAGTGTCCCCTTAACTAAGCTTGAAATTTTCCTATAATAAGGCATTTATGGAATGTGTGAGTCAAGTACCTAAATCTGAATAAAGACAAATCAGATGGTGTGAAATGGGAAAACAAATGGGGTTTCGGTTCAGTACAGGTGGGTGGGGTCAGGTCAGGTCGTGCCCTCTCAGTTTTCGGCCTCTTCTTCCCACCTTCTTCTTGATCTTTCTTTCCTCTCAACACCCCATGTCTTCTTCTTCACAAGGACTCACCAACTTCCCTCGACAATAACCTAGGTACACCGATCCCGTGAAATGTATTAGGGTTTTGGAAAACAATAACGAAAATCACACCACTAGGACTTACCGTCGGCATTCTCCCTTCCTCAACCGTTCAGCCCACCGTAGCTAACGGGCGCTTCAAGCTCCGTCGTTCATCTCCACTGCTCCCCCTCTCCTCTGTCTTTTTTTTTTTTTTTTTTTTTTTTT